TGCTATTAGTTTTTATTTTTTTTAAATAGTGACTTTGTAGTTATTGAAATAATTAAAATTATTTTAAAAACATAAATGTCAAAAAAACTTTAAAAGCTGGATGCACCAAAATACAAATACAACCTGTTTTTTAACGATATTAAAAAATATAGTAAAACAAAAATAAAAACTAAATTTTTAAAATGTAAATATGTACATTTGGAGACAAAATACTTTGGTCGTCACTTTTCTGACACTTTAATGTAATTCAAGCTTTAACGTTAAAATCAATGACAATTTCAAATTAATGACAGCTATTATATTTTCGTATCAAAAATATGTACATACAACTTGTCAACTATCATTCACAGTAGCACAGTAGCTAAAAATAAGGTTAACAGTCCTAAAGGATGCTTTACAATTTTATGTCACTTAAGTGACATTGACGACCATAGTATTTTGTCTCCAACTGTACTATGTAAACATCGTTTTTCACAGTTGCATTTGTTTAAAATTATACACTGAGTAAACTATTAACATATTTTCGACAATCTGCTGAATGTATATTTAAATTTCCAATAGTGTTTTTTGTTTGTGATTTTAAATAAATAAGTTTTTTTTTAAATTAATTTTTAATTAAGTTATTTTTTTAATTAATTTGAGCAATATATACAGGCTGTTCATAAAATCGCGCACTTCCTGAAAGGAAGTAGTTGTGTAGTCCCCCAAAGTACTGAAAAAATGTTTAAAAAATTCTATCTGTCAAAAAATTTTGACATTTATTTTTTCACATTTGGCATTTTTTTAAGTCTTTTTAATGATACTGATGATCTTGTATATGTTTTTTTATAATTATTTACTAAAGGTACAAAAATTTTGTTAATAAAAAAAGCCACAAATAACACTAAACGGAATTACAATTTAGGACACAGCTTCTTTGTTTCCTCTTCTAATAGCCTGTAGCAAAAAACTTGGAAAATTATTTTTCCAACAGAAATAAATAGAGTCATAGTGTAAACTTTAAACTCTCATAACTTCGGAATTTTTAGAATTTTCTTGTTGTCTAGGGCACCGCCCGATGACACAGTGTCACGGAAGTGCGCGATTTTTTGAACAGCCCTGTATTTGTTGCTATAATTTTTTTGTATACGCTTCCAAAACTAGTTATTTTACGGACTGAATAAAGTGAAACCTACCTAAAATTGTTATTTTATGTACTCTAGTACACAAAATAACAATTTCCGTAATTTTGAGCCACTATTTTTGAAAAATTAAACATACATGATTAGGTAGTAGAGTAAAAATGTTTTTGGAAGATTTAACAAAAAATTTCTTTGTAATACGCACTAAAAAAATTTTGCTAACTCATCTGCTATTCGGACTCGGTTTCGCTTCGTTCAAAAACAGCAAAAATTCGTACGTAAAAACTGTATTTTAGGTACTTGTAACAACAACTATTTTTTTGAAAAAAATATGATATTTTTGAAGGTAGCACAACCGGTATTTGAAAAAAAAAACATTTTTTGCATAGTGATTATAAAAGTTGAATTTTTATCACGATTAATCGTTTATTTTAACGATTTCTATAGTTATATTTCTATAGTTATTATCAAATTGATATCTTTTTGGTCTTTGGGGTTCTTGGGGTTATCACTATGCAAACAAATGTTGTGTACAACTCGTTTTGAAAGTCCTTTTTTTCACTCATTTGCTTGATTAACTCGAGCGGAGTCCTTGTTAATGAATTGCAAATTCGTGTAAAAAAGTATGACTTTTAAAACTAGTTGTAAGT